AAATAAATATAAATAAAATTAAAAAATTAAGGTAGTCTGACAATAATCGAAAACTCTTTTTAAAAAGGAGTGGCTTGGGTATACTTACGGGTTCCTCCCCATATTCCGCTCTTTTCAAAGTTCTAGAAAAAACTTTGTGTGACTGAAAGGTTCACGCAGGAACCGAACTACCGGTTTCTAATTCCTGCACGAAAGAAATCTTTGTGTTAATTCGTGTAATCCACAAATTGTTGTTCCGCGTGTGGAAGTGATGTGTTTGTTAATTAAGCATCATCGTTAATAAACCCCTAGCTTCTTAGAGTCATAACAACATTATATTTACGCGGGTATTAAGGAAAATTATAATTTGAATACCTTGGTAGGCTTGACGTTTCGACCCGGTTGCACAGGTCGTGGTCACAAGCAGACTGAAGACGCGATGTCACAGCTCCCTGCATTCGGGTGATGAATCTTCATCTACCCCCTTATTTTCATTTTCTACCATATTAGGCCATCTACACACTACGCTGATTATATCCACAGACAGCGTAGTGTGCAGCGTAGTAAGCCTACCAAGGTATTCAAATTATAATTTTCCGCGTTAATACCCGCGTAAATATAATGTTCTTAGAGTCAGCCGGGGCTGCGGGACAAGCTCAATAAAGTACGGCAGCTGTAGTTGAAGGAGGAGAAAAACGGGGGGTTTTAGTCAGTAAGAGTCTGACACTTCCTTACCCCGGACGAAAGAAGTAATTTCTTGATAATCCTCTCAAAAATTGAAACATTTTAAGGACTAAAACTTTGAAAATGTAATTATTTCCAAACCAAAACCACTTTAGATCAATGAACTTCAAAAAGTTTACAAACATGTTGTGTAGATAGGATACATTTAGAATAGAAACGATCTATTTCCATTCGGGTCGTATCCGAGTCGAATCCAGTTCGGTTCAAGACCGCTGACCGAGTATTTATATGCAAATAAACAAACTGGAATAGTTTCAGGCAAGCGTTCGATGTAGACTTACGATAGTCTGTGTAAAGAACTGCCTGTTTGGTGGAGTGGTCACGATCTTACAAGCGTAACATATAATTCGGCTTCGAGTACTGAGTTAGGTGCGATCGTGCTTTTTGAACTATGATCTCCAATGGCTATATGGCTACCCCATAGTTATAGCTAGGATCGCCATACATTTCGGTGGTATGTCCGGCCTGTCTTTTAAGATTTCGGTGTTTGTGCTGTTCAAGATTACCTAGTCAAGACTCACTTCATGGTCTTCCTACGATTGACGACACACTTAAATGTACTTCTTCCAAGAATTTGATTTTTTAACCAAACTCGCAGATGTAACCAAATATTTGAGTTAGTAAGAGTCTGACACTTCCCCACCCGAGGCGAAGAACATGTTAACAGATTCTCCCCTAAAAGATAGAGATAGAGATAGAGATAGAGATAGAGATAGAGATAGAGATAGAGATAGAGATAGAGATAGAGATAGAGACAGAGATAGAGATAGAGATAGAGATAGAGATAGAGATAGAGATAGAGATAGAGATAGAGATAGAGATAGAGATAGAGATAGAGATAGAGATAGAGATAGAGATAGAGATAGAGATAGAGATAGAGATAGAGATAGAGATAGAGATAGAGATAGAGATAGAGATAGAGATAGAGATAGAGATAGAGATAGAGATAGAGATAGAGATAGAGATAGAGACAGATACAGAGACAGAGACAGAGACAGCGACAGAGACAGAGACAGAGACAGAGACAGAGACAGAGACAGAGACAGAGACAGAGACAGAGACAGAGACAGAGACAGAGACAGAGACAGAGACAGAGACAGAGATAGAGATAGAGAGAGACAGAGACAGAGACAGAGACAGAGACAGAGACAGAGATAGAGATAGAGAGAGACAGAGACAGAGACAGAGACAGAGACAGAGACAGAGACAGAGATAAATGTTTACTATAGATATACATATAGGTACAGTATTGTTTGTATCAACATGCTTAACCATGACTGGTGATCAAATATTAATTAATTTTACAATTACTAAATGTCAAGATTGTACATACTTAAGTCAGAATTGTTTTTAAAATATTGGCGTTACATTTTTTCATCGAGTTCGTTTGGTCGTGTTCTTACCTTGGTCACAGCTATAATAGTTACAAACTTATTTTGTAACTAGAGCTATTGCCCGCGACTCTGTTCGCGTGGAATAGTGACTTCCTGCAGATTTTTGGTATAAAAACTATCCTATGACCTTTGTCGAGTGTGAAATCGGTTTAGTAGTTTAGGCGTGAAGAAAAGACAGACAGACAGAGTTATTTTCGCATTTAAACTATAAGTTTGGATTTCGATAATGTAGCCTCAGGTAAACAGAACTTGCATAATATTCTAAGCCAGATCACCTCACCAAGGCAGTTTAAAAGAGAACTTGCTTTCTATTCTAGCTTGGACAACGAGCCTTGTGCAGTCCGGGCATAAGATAAAGATGAGGCGCAGTGTGAGATACAAAAGTGGGCGTTACCGCTTATAATTGTTTTCGTTTGAATATTAATGAAGTTCACTGAGAGTAGGATGATTCAAATTATTCGTAGGTAGCATATCAAGGTATCCTGTTTTATCAAATATACTCAATCGATTTCCTTCCTTGTCCTTTTGTTATAAAGTTGAATGTCGGTTCAAATAATGTTCAGTGCGAGTCTTCTTCCCACGCTAGTTACGTTTGCTAAGTGTTCTAGAGTTCTGGAACTGAGTAATGAAACAATTTGTTTTTAATATACATAAAGGTGAACTCGACTGTTAGTCTGTCAGTGCACACTTTAAAAGGAGGTGGGAGTTTATATTTCGTAAATAGGTACTCCAATTATTCCATCCGCAATGTGGTGAATATGGTACATCACATCATCTGGGTATGAGTGCCCACTGCTAAGCAAAGGCCTCTTATCGTGCAGTGAAGGTTTGAGCATTAATCGCCACGCTTCTTCAAGGCGGATTGGCGATTTCAAACTTATAATAAGAAATTTTAAGTCTAGGTTTTCTAACGATGAATTGTATCACTCATAGAAAGTACATATAACTTGGAAAAAGTCACATTGGTACTTGCGTACAGGAGAAGCAGGTGCCTTAACCTCCGGGCCACCACGACAATCAAATGTGGTGACCACATAGTATGAGCACCTACCTCCTATCTTCCTACCCTTCGGTCTGTTGTTCCCAACAAAATTGCGATAATTAACCCACCAGCTAAGCATTTAGATACTTACAAACTCCTCTTTTGAAGAAAATGCCCATAGACCTGCACGCTCTCTCACGGTATGTTGATTTTTGGTGATGACAAACTCTCTTCTCGAAGTATGAACGCTCATTTCACTTTAGTTTCCGACTGTTGTCCAATATATGTCAGAGTGCAGATTCGTAAGACCCAGTGTCTTTGTGCAGAGGTGACAGAAAGAGACTGAATAGAAAATAGTTAGTCTTAAAGTCTCTTCCCTCTTCCCCAGGCGAAAGAATTGAGAGGAAGAAATACATGAGCTTTGAAAATATGTGTAAGTGTAGGGAAGTGTAGGATTCTTCATTCCAATATAAAATATAGTGCGATCCTTCCTGCTTTACACCAATCCCCTAAACCACAAACTCTTTTGGTGTCCATGGGCGGCGTTAATTGCTTACCATCAGGTAATACGTCCTCTCGTCGGCCCTCCTATGCCATAAAAACTAATTCTTTTTTATCAACTTGAACTTCAACAGCCACACTCCACTAGAAACCAGTCTCAGACTCGTACATATGTTCTACTATACCAGTTAGAGTCAGACAAAAGAGGATTTTCAGCAACTTTATTTCTCCACGGTTTGCAGGCAAGTTGAAGCTTGGAGGTTTTAGTTGTATGACAGATGAAGATGGACCTGAAGGTCGCTACTAAGTTTCATTGTCAAAATATTGTGGTGGTGTGATTGGTGGCCTCCAAAAGCTTTGTTCAGTATAAGGATGTAAGGATATTACATTATAGGGATGTTTTCTACTGACTTAAGGCTTTTGCAGATTTACTAAGGAACCCCCATTTACTTATGTTATAGGTCGGCAAATGAGCAGAGGGTTTACCTGATGGTAAGCAATCAGCGCCGCCTATGGACACCCGCAACGGAGGAGTTAAGAGTGCGTTGCCGACGTTTTAGGAATTAGGGATTTATCCAAAATCTACAATTCAATCACTGGACATTGTTATTTAAATTCCCATCAATTGTTTCGACAGGAAAATCTGCTGACGCTCCAATATCGAAGAGCATAAATTAATTCTTAACCCTTTAAAGGCGGTTGAATCATGACTCTCAAAAATAGCTGAGTCATCCAATTTGATATTGCATTGAACCGGCAAGCGGTCGGAAGAAATTAAAAACAGAATATTTAAATCGAAAAAGCTTATTCCAATTTCAAATGTAAATCACCGTCATTTTTTTCGTTTTCGCTCGCTTTGACGTGGAATCGCTCGCAAACTCTCGCAAAACGGTTTCCACACGAACGCTCTCCACTGAGCGTTTGGAACATTGACGTCATCAGGAGCACAGCCGCCGGAGCCTCGATACTATTGTCAAACACATATTTAATTACCATCGTGTGCAGTGCGGCACACGCAACCATCTATTCAAAACGAAACAAAGAAGATTTACTAGCCAACTTAAAATGGACTCTTTGGTATATAAATATAAAGCGCTTTCCTCGTTGCCAATAAAAAGGTAGTTTAACCGTTCCATGGAGGTGTGTAAGGGTGAATTTCGGCCGATCCTTCGTTGTACTACGCCTGCGCAAAAAACAGTTCGCGAGCGCGTATTTCAGTTAAAGTAAGGCGGCGCGCCGGCTAGCGCGCTCGCCTGCCGGTCGCCCGGAGACCTTTAGCGGACGCCGAATACCATTTTCATCAATAAAAATAATGTCCTGAGGTGTTAAAATCGTGTGTGTTGTCTTAACCTGTCAATTTAGCTGTTGCTGTGTGTGTTTCGGTAATGTTAGCTGCCCGTAGTGTCTTCCCTTAGTATAGATGTGATTGACTGTTAAAAATGTCGTTGTTTTGATAAGGTGAGTTCTTAGTTTAAGGTCGGAGGTTGCCCTTGGTAATGGCAAGTACACACGTATGTACATATGTACCATATATTGTGGCGAAATGTTCGCGTGACTAGGCTGGGGTGAAATCATTCAGAAAATTGCTGCCACATTCCGGCGAAGGTTTTTTCATGCCTGCGGAGATTTGATACGATAAATGCTGTAGTTGTATAACAATGAAATTGTGGAGATGTCAGCTAATAAATTGGTTGAGTAATGGGTCTGCTACTGTGGGTGCTAATGTAACAGAATGCGCTCGTATACTAGAATAACATTATGACTCATAAAATGCTATGGCAATCAAACTATCGTAAACGTTTTATTAAATCTGTAATCTTGTATAGATGATGTTGTTCACTAATCATTTTATACGAACAGTATAATTTTATAAAAAAGTTTAATAAAGTAAAGAATGTAGCGATACAGATAAATACTTAGCCGAGCCGGCTCTTCTCAAGCCGTGATTATGTAAAAAGTACAAACTTGTCAAAACTGTCACTGCGTTTGCCCGCAGCGGTGGGGGGGTTGACTTAAAATACCTATTTTATTAGTATGATATACTTAGGGGTCATCACCTCTTAAATAAGGCAAAGTCGTCTCTCCAAACTTTTTTATATACCAACTTCATTAAAATTTGATTCAAATTAAGCTTTATTAAATTATCGTAAGGTTATGTTTAATAAACATCAAAATATTTTGAAGATTATCAGAATCTTGAACGAAGCTGGATAAATTTGGACAGATCTTACGCAACTTTACAAAAAATCTTTGCTTTGCACAAAGGCTTTTCCTTTGTTTACCGGCTACAAAGGTAGGTCCTCCTATTGCTTAGATAAGAGACTTTGTGAGCATATCATTGTCAAAATAAAACTCTATACTTATCTATATATACATATACCTGTGCTCTATACTCTCTGCAGAATAACGCGGGGTAACCATCAAACTGCTGCATTATATTTTTTTATGAAAACTTTTTTGTGTTTTATCATTTTCATCCTTTTTTTATTTTGTATAGTTTCAACAATTAAAGCTTTCTTCAGATTATTTGGAGTGGACTCAATTATTGAGTCCACTTATAACACTTAAGTTTTATTTTCATCTTCTCTCTCCTCTAGCCTATCAACCTGGTACAGTCCAACCATCTATGATTTGACCGTCCTCTTCCTTTCCATTTACACAAACTTCATGCTTCTATGAAATGATCTCTTATTCGGAGGGGGGGATCACCAGACGTCTTCTCTTGCCCTGAGGTGGGGCGAGACAGAATGTCTGACTCTCAGACTCTTACTGACTAAAAAACCTGCCCGTTCCTTCTCCTACCCCAGACTGGGGCCGCAGTAGCTAGGTGCATACATTACTGCTATTGCACCCGCTATCTATCTATGAAAAGATTCTTTCCTCTATTCTAAAGGCCTACGGTTATACCTATCGGCTTTGGTGATACTGTATAGTGTATTACACGTGTATACGGGCGGCATTCATCGTCTACCATCAGGTGATCCCGCGAAGTTACTAATCTTAGCTAGTCTGTAATTGTAAGAAGATTCTGATAAACTGTAATTACGCAGGAACACAACTATTATCTATTGACGTAGCCCCAACGATTACCTACTCGAACAGGTACTCTCTTGTGCTATTGAATGGACGCGTAGGTGTTTCAAAGATCAAGTTATTTATAGATGCCTAACCACGCTTGATGGGTATGACGTCACTTCATTGAGATGATTCTTCTTCAGTCAACAACGTTTTACGTGCAAAAATATCTAACTGAGTATTCCCGATATAAATGGCATGGTGGCCCGTGGGCTAAGGTTAAGATAGGGTAAGATTCTCATGCTTGAGGGCGCGAGTTTGAATGAATGTGACTCATTCCAAGTTGTATGTATCTATATGTATATCCTTTCTAAGTTATTTAGCCACCCAATGATGTATGGTGAAGGAAAACATTGTGAGGAAAGTTTCAAATCACAAATCCACCTCAAAAAACGTGGTGATTAATGCCCAAACCTTCACAGTGCATCAAGAGGTTTTAGTAGTGGGAACTTTTGGGCTGCTGATGATGAGTATTCCCAGAAGGGGAGTATAGAGATACATGTAGGTCATCAATGAGTAAACAAAGAGGTCAAATTCAAAAGATTTGGGGTTCATTCTTAGGACCTGAGGCTTGAGTCAGTTGTTTCATATTTAAATTATATTTAACTAAGTATTAAAACATTAGGTAACTCAACTAACTATTGTGCAATGGTCAGTATAATCGTATTGTCTATTTTTATCAGACGGGGTCATTCTTTTGGATCGTAATCAAGATCACTGTTATAATAACGTTTGAATAATTATGCATCCTAATTAATCCTCCTTGCCATTTGTAGAGTTTTGTATTTAAATTGGACCTTGTATGCCAAGAAGATTGTAGGAGAAATTCAAAATTTTGGAAATGCTCTGATTTAGACTATTGGAAACCAAAGATCGTTTTTAATATTATTGAATATGGCATAGGTCTGCACACAAGCAATCGGATTACCTGATCGTAAGCAACCAGCGCCGCCCATCGACGCCGGCAACAAGGTAGTCACGAGTTCGCTGCTGAACTTTTTTGGGTTAGAGTTTCGGATGTTTAAGGAGGTATGGGGCGAGGGGATGGATTGGGAGAACCTCACTCACACAGCGAAATACAACAATGTGGTTATTTCACGCCGGTTTCCTGTGAGGCAGTGGTATCACTCCAGTCGAGCTGGCCAATTCGTGCCGAAGCTTGGCTCTCCCACACACAGTTCGCTATCGTTTTGATACGGACGCCGTATGTATCCAATATTTGAATATCTATAAAGAATAAAGAATGGAAAGTAACATTGTAAGTACTTAAAAAAATCTAATACTATTTTCTAGAAGTATTAAAATCGTTGTTATTTCAAGCAGTAGAAGTAACGAACAAAACAATAAATAATGTAATCTGTTGTGCACTGCAGCGGACCGTTGAAAGCAGTTCCGTCGGTATACATAATTGAAGGATAGCAATCGCCATGAATATTTGAAGACAACACTTAACACAGAACAACTATATGTTTGTTCGTATAAGATGTGTGAGTACGATGTTTGGAATTAAAGCAATTATTTTACGGTCTTAATATACTGTTCAGCGAAAATCGGAGGATTGTTGATTGCCAACCATCTATATTATGGGGATGAAAGTATTTAAATAAACATCAAAACGAGTTAGTTAATCAATATATTATGCGCTTATATCTATATAGCTGATAGTTGTTTCACCGGCTCGCAGAAACTCCTTTTTTTTTGAGCAGGGCAAATCATCAAATGAATTGTCCTGCCCAGAATATGGCCGTAGGGCTAACTAAAATCCCCCCGTTCCTTCTCCTGCTCTAGGCCTAAGCCGTGGTGCCGTATTGCTCTTATCCCGCCATCTCGGCTGACACCTATATAGGTAATAGTTGTTTCACCAGCTCGAACGAACTCTTTTTTATTTGAGGCAAGAAAATTGCAAATGTCTTCTCTTACCCAGAGTATGGCGAGAGGTAGTGTGAGACTCTTACTGACTAAAAAGTCACCTGTTCCCACTCCTACTCCATGCCGGTGCCGGGGAACCTTATTCCGCTTAACCCTGGCCAAAAATCGGCCCTGTTCGTCCCCGTCTGTGGTGGTCTACTGACTCTTTGAGGCGCACACGACACTCTAAGCGCGACATGCACGGGTCTGGTTCTGGTCCGGTGACGAGTTAACCTTATTGCTCGTCGACCAGAGTTCCGCGCTTACGGTGACTGGAGGTCGTGGTTCGATCCCCGACGCCCAGAGTGTCGGCTTCTAAAGCGGCTGGGGCCTGAAAAGGATAGTTTCCTCACACGCTCCGCCTCTTCCTCTGCTTCGCTGAAAGAGGAGATGGCTTCGCAGTTAATCGCTCCGCACCTCGACTAATACCGGACGCGAGAGGTCGCCAGAAACTCCTGCTTGTCATGCACGTATACCTTTAACTAACGTAATCTGCTTCAAAGAATCACAGTAAAATCAAGTTAAACACTGCACAAAACTTGCTATAAAATGGCTGACTAACTCACACCTGCATATAAGTAATAATGACAATATAATAACAGTGTTACACAAACTACAGTTACTCACACGAATCAAATGACGCCCATTAAGAGTATGATGAATGAACAATATCAAAATCGGTGTAACATTGGAAAAGTTTTCGTTAATTATAATTTGTAGGTACTTACAGCAACTTACGTGTGCAATCTAAATAATAAAGGTCGTTGAACTTTTGTTTAGTTTGGAGGGGTATTTATACTAATGATTGGATCATATTGTGTTGGCTATATATTACCCTTATATTTAAATGATAATATCTGAATGATATGTTTACCTTTCAGTAGGCCATACATAAAACTGTTTCAATTACATTTAATGAGATATTTTATTCTATTTAAACAACTATAAGTGTGGGAGAGCCATGCTTCGGCACGAATGGGTCGGCCCGACCGGAGTGATACAACGGCCTCACAGAAAACCGGCGTCGAAATAACCACAACGTTGTGTTTCGCCGTGTGAGTGAGGTTACCGGAGGCCCAATCCATCCCCACCCCCAATCCCTCCTCATTCCCTAAAAGGTCGGCAACGCACTCGTAACTCCTCCGTTGCATCCTCCATGGGCAGCGGTGATTACTTACCATCAGGTAATCCGTCTGCTCGTTTGCCGATCTATTACATAAAAAAATGACATTTAATGAGCTATTTTATCTAAACAAGTATATAAAGGTATAAAGACTAAGACTAAGATGCTGTAAAGATTCTGCCAGCAGCTTTGGCCGAAATACCGGGGTAAAGGTAACTTTTATTCCAGTTATTCCAGATCATAACCTATCATCATCTTCCTGCCCTTGTCCCGTTTTATTTGGGGTCGGCGCAATATATTTTTTTTTTCCATTCTGTCCTGTTACCCGTCACGCTGTCACTGACTCCTCTGT